AAGTTTGGTTCCAACATATAGCTTGCCACTAATTTAAAATGCTGGAAAACACTGTGTTATGATACTGTCTAATATGCTACCCCTTTCAGAATTTAATTTTAGGGATCTATCTCTTTAGGGATTTCTCTCTTCTCTGGAAGACAGCTAAGTACATAGTTCAGGAAAGATAATAACCCTTTCGTGAAAACTCCTGTTATTTTAAGATATCTATTATTCTATAGTAGGCTGATGATAAGAATATTAATGTAAAAAAAATTAGAAAATACTTTGTACTTCACACAGCAGAACAGTGAGCTGTGATATAAAAGAACCTGATTCAAAAGACAGACAATCCTTTCCGGGAAAAAATAAACCACAGAAAAACTAGAAAGAGAAGGAGCAAATAAGCAGAAGTGAATTTAAGCGACTGGAACATTGTTAACATGTGATCATGTTTTATCATTTCTTTTCAATTATTCTTTTTTAATGTGAGTTCCTAGTCAAGTGACTTCTTCATTAAAACACCATGGGAAGATATTTGTATGTCACTCAGTAACGTATCACTTGCAATATGATAAAAAAGAGCCTGAAACTTAGTGCTGCAGAAATATTCCTTTGTGACAGAAAAAGGCATGGTGACATAAAAAATTTAGTGCTCAGTGTAAGGGAAAGATTTTTAAATGTACGTCCCTGTAACCATGTAATTTTGTTGCTCGGTAGGGTATGTTCCATTTTTTTCCAAGCAGTCAGTTTAAGCTTTAAAATATTTGTCTTTTGTCCTCAAAGCTGTATTTCCTAATGGGTTGATAAGAAAGATGGCCAAAATTAGGCAGCTGTCACTCCATCCAATGTCACACAACCCCAGCTATGCCTCCTTTGATGAATTAATTGTTGTTCCACAAAGGCCAGAACGGCCCTGTGTTTGAACATATTCTGTATAATAAACAAGGTACTGCTTTTTCACAAGAGTTTTCAAGCAGCACTGCCAAAACTAGAATAACTACTAACTACTTTGACTACTAATAAGGCATGTGACACCCATGTCCTTTCCTGAAGAGCCACAAAATGCAATGAACCAAACATTGAGAAGGTATCTTCTAAACCTTTTTTCCCTCAAATATAACCAAAAGTAGCAGCAAAGGGACCACTCTTTCACCAAGTGATGTATTTATGTTATCCACTGATGACTGCAACAGGATAAAATGATAGAGAAACAGCAAAACATGACCATAGTATAGTAACTACTGCTTGTGTTACTGCACCTAGGAGGCCCTGTCATCCCTTTGTATTCATACACTGTGCTAAGCAGTGTGTGAATACAAATAAAAATATGGGACAGCCCCTGCCTCTAGAAACAGAAGTCCCCGGAGGTGGTTACAACATCCTGCCATGCAATCCCAGGCGGGCGCTCTTGGCGAGACAGCAAATCACCACTGTCAGCTGTCCTGCCTCCATCAAGACAAAGGACACTGCTGAAGAGTCTGACAAGTGTGTTGCTTGTGGCAGACATAAGCCACTCCCTGAAAGATAATTTACATAACCTCATCTCAATGCAGGTTTTATAGAATGGCATCTGTCATTTATTTTTATAGTGTCTTATAGTAATTTTCACTTGTTTTAAACTTTGTCTTCGGTTCATTACTTCTGTATTTGTATTAATACATTAAGTCCATGAATCTTGCTGGGAATTTCCAGGGTTTAGTGGATTCTGTCTCTTTTAGGAAATCACATGTGAAAATTCAGACCTTCCTGAACTTTTCTTCAATGCTAGTTTGGAATTTCATACAGCAACTATAGCTTTTCCATATGGTATTGCTTATGAAGCACCTAGAATCAACATTTAGTTAGAACAGAAAGATAAGCAGAAAGAGGAATAACCATATAGTTTACTTTCTCTCTGTGAAGAGTTTTGAGTCATGTATTAAGCATGTGCCTGAATTTCAACTTCTCCAACAGCACTGAATGACAGAAACTGGAAAGCTGGTACTTATTTCCTTCACTAGCCTAAATTAAAATTTTGAATGTTTTAGAATTTACATCAATTCTTAAAAAAAATTCCAAAACTCAAGAACTTTAAAATTAGATCTTCATATAACAGAAGTACTAAAAGTAGAACTCATTTGTGAATTATGTTTGAATTGTTCAATCTCATGTTTTGCACTCCCAGTACATTTGTTTACTCTGCTGCTTTTATTACTTTCTCCCTTTTACCCTATGTTCCCACCAGACTCCAAATAAATCCTCACACTACTTTTTAAGTTTTGTTCTCCAGTAAGTCACAAATACTAAATAGTGTATACAGTAAATAAATATCCTTCCCCTATCGGATGCAGAAAATATATGTTATGTATGCATGTTATATGAGATATAAAGATTTTGTGTGTGAAAAATATACAGAAATGTGTCCATTTAGCAAACCTGAGCCATTTTGCTTCCCCCTCCAGAGAGAAACTTGAGGAGGAAGGAAAATTCTCCAGAAGTCAGGTAGTATATCGGGTTTGGTCATCTGACAAACTTTTAGGAGGAAGTATTTTGTGAATGCTCAGAATTCTGCAATTGGTAAGAAGCACTTTGCTCTAGAAAGTCATAAACTGTCTGCTTAGCTCCTGTGAGAATGGTAATTGTACATCTGGTGTCCTGAAATGCCTTCTCAGCTGGAGAGAGGAGCTTGGAGAAATAGTGAGTCACACTACCAGCTTTTGATGTGAAAATCCTGCCAGCAAGTGCTTGTGGAACATTCTTCTCCCTCCATGCACTCTGAAGTTCTGTCACCACAGGGCATTTGTAGTTGGGGATATTGCTACTCCCAGCACACCTCTGCTTGAAGTACTAAGATTGTACTGAGATCCTGCACATGCTGAGGCAAGTGAGAGGTTCCAAATAGATTTTACAATTTTATTCTGGGGAGTCTTAAGTGTTCGCAAAAAACAATGGTTATCACAATTTTTGTTATGATGCATTATCTTTCTGTATTTGGACCTCCTAGGTTCTAAGAAAGAATTTACCAGATTGCTATTATTTGTCATTTCAATAACGTACGTTTCACTACGTAATATTGGAAAGGAAGGGATCATGGGTTTTATAATTTTATATATTTAGGCAAATAGCAGTTAACTTTAAATTCTGGCATCTCTGACACACAACCTCCCATTTTCAATATATTTATGGCTGAGAGAACCCCATCTTCACCTGGGAAATTCACAAATAAAAACTGCTGAGCATGATTACATGAATTCAATTAGTTTTGTCAAAAGAAACTTCTAAGAGTAAGAGAAGCTTTAGCAGCAATGAAAATATTTAACTGACCATTACTACTTCAGACTTTACACTTATTAAAATGAACAGTGAAAAAGAATTCCTTAATTTTAATTTATAAAGCAGAAAAGCATATAAAGACTCATCCTTTATAAAGGACATACAAACATGATTTAATAACAACACAGCCTCAGTAGAATGACATGGAAATTATTCCATTGACACTCTGTAGCAAAGATAGTTTATAATTAATACCTGAAACAAAGTAACCTATTTTAAAAGAAAAAAAAATTCAGAAAAAAAAAAGAACAACAAGGCTCATAAAAGAATTAAGATTGATCAAAAAGATCTCCTTGGGTGTCACAAGGAAATATTATTTGGGTTTGACTCCATTTGGCATAGAAAAAAAGTTAATCTATTCAGTAACAATTCACCCACAGCTAAGAAAAAATCAGCTATTACTGAATCTAAACTCGTGAGAAAAATTCTTGGTGAACAGTATCAGGTACCTGGAGAACAAATAAATTATCACCCCCAAAGCTGACACTTTGTAGAGAAATGAAAGCACAGTAATACTCACGCTTCTCTCTAATAGCTTTACAACTTAAAAAAAAATCCCAAAGAAATAACAAAAAACCCCGGTATATTTAAAGCATTTATTTTGGAAGCACTACTTTTTAAAAGTGTGTTTTTCTCACAAATATTATCACAAGTATTAGTGACCCTTGCTTAGACATTTGTTTAGCTGGAAGTCTTTAATGACATATCTTTGTCATGCAAGATGAAGACAAAACCCATCCTCATTAAGCAGCATAAAAATGAAGCAGCATTACACATCTAGCTGGCATGAGGAACCACTAGGATTACAATAATGCAAAAATTAAGTACACATTTTGATTTGGTAACAAAACATTTTCAAAATGACAGCATTGATATGACTGAGGATACTCATATTACTCAACCTCAAATTAGCCCTATTCTATAGGCATGTGAGTTTATTTTTATATATACTTATGTATATATGTATATTTATACACATACGTATATATACATGAATCCTTGATGTTAGATGAACTTTGGAAAACGTAACAAATCACCAAAATTTGACAAATCATGACAAAATCATTAGTCATTTACTGAAAAGCAACAGAGGACTAGAATGATAATCAGGTTTAGAGTATTAGTTTCAATTCAGGTTCAGAAATAATGAATAATATTATAGCTGTAAGAATTGAGCTGCAATGTAATTTCCTTCTTCGTCAATCTTGAAATTTTTACAAAGACTGCCTAGGTCAATCTTTTGAAATCCACTCTTGTGGATTTATTTGTGCAATATCTTTTAATTACAAGACCACATAGTGTAACAGTTACAATTAAATTGTATCCATTACAGTTTAGTCAGAATAAAAAATTTCCTTTGACTCAAGATCCAGTAAAAGGAAAGCTTTCAGCTCTAAAGGACAGTCACAGCAAAATCAAACACAGAATTAATAAGGGTCTTTCAATTTAAGAGCAGAATTGTAGTACACAGAGATCCAAAAATACTTTTTCTTAGGACTTCAAAAAACCCCCATACCATAGTGTGCTAATAAATACACTTGAAAGATTATAAAATTAATAAAAACTAAGTTAAATCAATGAAACATGGGAAAGGTTTATATTCCAAAACATTTAATTTATCGCTTTTAAACAGCATTGCAGACTAAGGTTAAAAAATGCAACCTTTTTGGTAGGCTTGCAAGTTATTCAAGTAATGTCTACTGAAAGGCACCTCTGAGATTTTGTGTTTCAAAAGTTAAAACTGAAGTCTCACCTGAAAAAGGATGGCAGCATAAAATCAAGTATGTAAGTAAATACCTAGGGTGGAAGTGTGCTGTTGTGTAAAGAAACATTACTAGGGGAGCAGTAGAACATTTCTTTTCCATGGCTACATTCCTGGGGATGCAAGACAGTCATGACAAACCCAACTGCCATCACTAGCACACCAAGAACAAGAATCAGGCAGGATATGAGGTTATCTGGATGGTTCCACCGCTCCTTGGACAGCCTTAGGTAACACGCTGATGGGATGATAAAAACAAGTGGGGTAGCACTCAAAACTCCCTGTGTGTGGGAAAGAGCAATAGAAAAAAATTCATAAGCATGTTTATTTAGATGTGAAGAATAAAAAACCTAAATTTTTAAACAGTTGTGATTAGACTGACACAACAGTAAAAACAGAGGATAAAGCCCTTTTCCTGTGTTGCTATATGGAAAACCTTTTTTTCCAAAAAATGGTCCCAAAAATATGCAAAAATATCTGTTAAACTATTTCTAATAATTAAGATTTATTTAAATGCTTTTGCTTTGCTGATCCAGAATAATATTTTAACATTCCAAGAAGCATTTAATATTATTTTCCAAAGTTTCTCAGCTTAAGAGATAAAGTCTAAACAAAATTCTTCAATACTTGAACTAAATTAAAATATTTAAGATAATTCCATGGAGGAGTTTAGATATAACACTGCCCTTAAAAGGAATAAAATTTTTTGAAAAGTGGAAGCATCATGTAGCAGTTCAAAGAATTCTGAGCAGTTTTGACATTTATAACCTGATTTAGGTTGACTTCCCTATGAAAGCAAAGCTCTTTTTGACAAAGTAGAACCTTTCTTCTCACTAAAAATTCAGCTGCTCTTTAAATGCTCTCTTAGAAAGGGACAAACAAAAAGCACTTTCAAAAATTCTTTTTATAGTAAAGCCACTGCACATTGGCATATGAGTTACATGCCAAAAGGGAGCAATTTTATGTAGAAATTCTGAATGTTTATTTAGTTACATACTTAACAAACACTATGTTTCAATTTAATTACGGCCAGATGGTAATCCAGCCTAAGTAATAAATTTACATCATCATTTGTACAAAACTTCCAATATTTGTATGGTAGAACCTGTTAACAGTCATCAGTACAGACATCAGAAATAGGTACAAGCACAAAGTATCTCCTCCATGAAAATTAAGCTTTAGGTCAGTGAAGTAACACAAACCAGCATCCCAGTAAAAGAATAACAAAGAAAATCCTTTAACTCCCATATGACCCAATCGTTTCCCTGGGGAATTACCACCAGGCAAACACAATAGCTTCTGTTTTGTTCTAAAACCAGAAAGCAGGTAAAGAGAAACCAGGGTTAGAGAAATAATATCAAATGCCATCTGTAGTGAAGAGCCAAAAGACAGCTCTTCTGCTGGACAGAAAGCCAGCTGAAAAGATAGATCACCTTTCTTTCACATGTAAATACTCTGTCTATTCAGTTTTCCCTACTGCTAGATATCAAGACTGAACAATCTTTCTGAGCATAATTATTACATCCAATAAATACCTACAGCTGTATTGTCAAATTCTCTCTTAAAAAGGAAAAGCAAAAAACCCACACAAGATAGGACCTACCCATGCAGATGCCTGACTATCAACTTGTATTTGTGACTGAATAAAGCTATCAGCTTGACTATTGACTAACTGCTTAAGAAAAAAACCCCACTGCATTGATGGAATGCTTGCTTTTTTTGCTTGCTCTTGATTGTATATTTCTAGTGACCATCTTTGTGGTCACTACTGTAGTAGCTGTGGAACCAGCTACTACTGGTTCTTTCTTTCTGCCTCCCTGTGGTTTTTGCCACCATGGCAGAAGGCAGTCACTAGAATCTGCCCCAGTGCTAAGTAATTTGCTAACTTAATCAGAAGCAGGGACTGAAGAAAGAAGTGCTAAATTCAGTACCACTATACAGTTTGAATGAGTGTTTCAGTAATTTCTGCTGCGGCTTAACACATTTTGTAGGTCATAGCCACTTGCCTTATCTACAAAACTGTTCGAAAACCCTCCCCCAACCATATGAATTTTACTTCTTGAACTTCCTTTCACCCTTAGTTATCTGTGTTTGAAGCAGTAATTCCTTCTTCTAACACTATTACTGACTATGTCAAATTAGGTAAGATTTTCAGTAGAGCTGTGGATTTAAAAAAGTTCTTATTTATTAATAAGTGATGTATTAAACATAAGAGTAGACAGGTTCACTTACATTCAGCTCTAAAACTATTCCAAGGCAATCATACACTAATGATACACCAGTCGCCACAGCAATGATAACTACTGTCACAACAACATGGAAAACTGTTGAGAGGTTCCCATGGAAAAACACATTGGCAATCACCTGAAACAGAACCACAATTTTAAACCTTGATTTTTCTCCCTATGTTATCAAACAACTTACTCCAAACCTTCTTACTTAGGAAACTAAAGGAATGGGTGAGAATGCACTGGCTGAATTTTACTTACCTTGCTTCAAGAAAATATCTTCATCTGCTTCCAAAAATTACTCACAACAATCATTACTAAAATTGCAGAACACTTCCCAAATTTACTTAGTTTTACCAGTAGGATTTCAAAATTTCCTCTTTTCCCATTTGCCCATTACACTATAAATCCACTTACAATTATTCATTAAATTGATGAACCTCCCAGATGGAGATACTTCTAAAAAGAAAAACTATTAAGATTGAAAAGTATGTATTTTTGGCTATTCTCAATTCTATAACAACAGCGTCATTTATGTCAAATTTGAAATTTTCAGCAGTCCTGATATCATTAAGTAATTATTAATAATAACGTTGACTAATATTATAGCAAATGTAAAACAACATTATATGGCCAGTGTCTAAACAGTACAACCAGTCCCCCATACTCATTGCATGTAGCAGGATAAAATATGCTGCTATTTATCACAGATCAACCATAGACTTCAGCCACAATACGTATTAAGAATGTGACAAAATTATTAATACATAACAACAGTGTTAAAGGGAAAATGTAATAAATTCTTACCTCTCTGGTCACAAAACATTCAAGGGGGAAGGTCAGAATTACAGTAACTCCATAACAAAACCTTCCAAATGTAGCAAGGTTGTCATCTCTACAGTAGTTTTCAAATATATCTCCTGAGGCATAGCAAAACACCAATTAGCTTGTACCTCACATAATTTACCTGTATTTGCAACTTGAAGTGCAGGTTACTGGAGTTACTGGAGTAATTGAGATTTTCTGATCCCCTCTTCTGACATGTAACTAGAAACTAGTTACAGTCACAAGTTATGTCCAGGAACAACTTTCAGCTTATCCTGCTGGTTAAGCAGTGTTTTTACCTCAAGTAGCATTTATCTTCAAAAAACATTTTAAAATATTTTTTATATATATATCAGAGTTTTTCATCTGTTATCTTCCCCATAACACAGATGCCGATGTTTGATTAAATAAATATATATGTGACAGATTCAGAAAGAAAGCTTATGTGCAGAAAATAAAATTTTCCCTAAGAACTCCTAGAACAACAATTACATAAAAAAAGGTGAGAGTTGCCTGTGGAGAACTTCATTTCCCTGACAGTATCAAATCACAGCTAATAAGCTGTAGAAAAGAATGTTAAGTATTCTGACCTCAAAGGCCCATTGTATACGTATGGATTATTACCAAGCAAATCATCTTATATCTAAAAACAAAAGCATCGTTATAAACTTCAAATCAACTTGCTTTTTTTTTACTGTGCATCTGTAATAATGATTTCTGAAGAACAAGAGACAGTACAGGACAGTGACCAGATGATGTATCAGTTCTCTTTTATGTAGTTATGACAGTGTCTCATGATTTACCACTTTAGGAATCACAATGGCACTGAAGAAGCAATAAGGTGTACTTTAAACAGCCAAAAGATTTTGGCAGGGAAGACAGAAGGTGAGATGGAACCTGCTAACACACAAGAGTCATAAGCTGAGGAGGAGCTGCAGGAAGAGTTTTCTGTACCTCAAAGTTCTCAGCCAGCCTGCATTCGGTCTACCTACAGTACATCTATTACAGTGACTTACTCTGCTGGAGTAAGCACTGGAGGCAGGAAAAAAGGACAGATAAACCAAGAGTCCCCATCCTACAATTTCTTTGTTCTCAACTAAATGCTGCTGCTCATCAGAAAAGAAAAAAGCCTGGAAGCCTCCTCCTACAATCACTCTTAAGTAACAGAAAATATGCTTGCTTATGAAATGTGTATTTTCTCTGAAGAAAGTAATGCACTGAAACCAATTTATACCTTGTTCTTATGAACATACCTTTCTCACTTCAACAAAATGATGTTAAATAGCATGATGCAACATTGGTTATATATATTTACGTGTATTCATATACCCACAGAGGGGACAGTAGGATTAGTAACACCAGAACAGCTGTTGCAAAGATAGGAAATACCTCTAACTCTAAGATGCTGTATTAGTACAGACAAGAAAAAATGTAAGAAAATGTATACAGATATATACCAGATACCCTGTAGGAAATTTTTGTTCTTACTGCTCTCTGCTGCTGGACCATGTGGATAAATCATAGCTGTGTAGTCCTCAAAGTGTTTCAGTGATGGAAGTATTCAAATGGGACTTTCACTGGTGAGGCTTATGCTTAAGAATCTGACAGCTTTAGCATGTAGCTGACATTTTCGGATCACATTTTGGTTGTTGGGTAACTATGAGGAATGTCCTATTTCTGCCCAAATATACTATGATATTTGCATTTTTACAGTCACCAAGATGTTTACGGAAAAAAAATCAGACAGGAAGGCAGAAACGTAGGGATTATACCAAGCACCAAAATTGAGGGATCAAGCAGTTTACCTTCTGTGTATCCTGTAAAAGTCATATATCCACTGGCAGCAAACGCTACACTGATGATAAGAGCAAGGGCCACAGACATATGCGTGACTTGAGACCAATTCTTTAATGTGGGTTCTTCCAGAGACCCATATATTAAAAAGCTGTTATGATGGCAGATGAATGCTGAAACACACATGACAGTTAAAGCAAATGTATGAATTCATGCATAAATGCATAGAGACACAGCACAGTTTGAATCCACTCATTATTAAATACAAACATTAATCTTGCAATGAGTGGCAAAGATAAATGGCTCGAACCTTTGCTTGCTTAGTTGATTTGATGAAGGTTTATATTCATCCTCAGATGATTTTGATTACATTATCCTCAAATGCTATGCCATTTTCCACCCTCCACATTTCCATTCCACAGCTATTTCCTCCTCCTTTTACTTAAGATCCCAGCAGCAGATTTGAGAAGTTGTTTTTTATTTTAAATCTACAGAGCCATTTGCTACTTTCAGACTTCATTTGGCATCCATTTTAGGCAGCAGCAATCATTGGGAGGCCTCAGATTATCACAATGCTAACAAGAAATAATATGGCAGATCCTGCAGGCAGGAACAGATTTCAGAATGAGGACTTTTCTGTTAGAGGTTACCCAAGGGAATGCAGAATGATCCCAGCCCCTAGTTTATCAGTAAGACAAACCCACTGATGCAGGGGCTTTAGGATGACCTGCACAGGTGAGCTGCACTCACTGCCTCTGCTACAGTGGCAAGCCTCCAGGGCCAAAAGGACACTGGAGGAGGTTAATGTCTGACACAATAACAATGACATTTATATGGATCATTCACACAATTTGTTGTTTTTTTTTTTCAACACCAGTTTAACGTGAATATTAGAAAAAAAATCTAGTTTCAAAATATTAAATAGTTCTAGTTTCAAAATAATAAATAGTTTCTTACAATTGATTATTGGAAAAAAACCCAAATGGCAAAAAACACTTACCAAATGACATCACCCCAACGGCTTGTACTGCATTTGGTTTTGCAAATATCCATGCATTTTCTGATTTGGGTCTAAAACAGACATTTAAATAGGTTACCCTCTTTTCAAATATCAGTTATTGCTCTCTGACATAGCCCCAGTGTTTATTAACAAGCTGAAACCAGGGAGATACCTTTCTCATCTCCCTTGTTTTGATTCAAGTATTTCTGTAACCAGTGTTTACAGTCAAAAACGTCAGCCTGTTTCAGTTTTGTAAATTCAACTCTTCAAGGCAGCATATACCAAGAAACAGCAAGATGGAAGATAAAAGCTGTAAATCATCCTGACTAAGGTTATCTCAACTGAAAATGTCCTCTGACTATTTAGAGGCAATTTCTATCTTTGAATTTAAACATGCAATCAATGCAGTCTAGAGATACTATTTTACTAGGCTACAAATCAAGTGAGGGAGTTTGCCTTCTTTACACCTCTTCCAACTGGTCCTCATAGTAAAGAGATTCCACTACTTCCCAAAACATAAAAGAAATTGTAAGAGAGTACATGGAGACTTTTACAGTAAGGCAAGAATGTAATACTCCCCACACCTCCTCCTCTAAGATATGCTCACAGATTTGGACCCGTGGTAATTGCAATGCTTAGAGGAGGACCATCAGCAAACTTTGTTAAAAACCATTTACTGCATGAACTTCATCCTGGAATAAAGAGCCAAAATGAAAAATCAGGGAAGGACACAAAATATCCTTTTCCAGACATACAATTTGCTAAAAAAGATCAAATGAAATTCACAAGCTAGTTAAATATTGAATTTGTAATATTAAAGCACAGACAATGAAAAATAATCCAGAGAAGCTTGCTCTTCAAAAGTTGGCTACTGCTAACCTTAATTGCTCTGTTTTTATTTAGAGGGAAAGCTGCTGCCACCTGAGGCCTTAGGATGATCTTTTCCTACTGCCCTAGGAAGCAGTATGGCACTCTGGCCAGTTCTGTGAAGGTAACAATGGCAGCTTTATCTCTCCCTCTCTTTGTGATCTCTCCCTCTCGCTGGTTTTGACAGCTGCAGTGGCATATACTATACCAGTTTTCATTGCTTTCAAATGTTTAAATTACACCTCCAGCCCCTAAAAATAAACAGATTAAAATAAAAGTAATAGTAAAAAAAAAAGTAAAAAAAAGTTGCAGTTTCCTCTTTCAGAACTCATATCTTACTATTTCTTGAGTTCAAATAGTCAATCCTTCCTTTTCCATATTAATAAAACCCAGTTTTAAAGTACCTCATTCACATTCGGTTCAGACTTAGAGCAGCTTTTCAGCTCTTAAGCTGTGGTTGCAAAGCTTAACTTTGAAATTAACAGAACCTGAAGATAAAATCAAGCTCCCTTTTTTTTTGTCCTCAGGTACAGTATATTGTCTTGAACTGCTGTAACATACTGCTTCAAGCCTTTGGCAGCTGAATATGGCCCTCCTAAAATACTCTCAGACTCAGCAAGTAGATGTAAAGTACTATGGATGAAATAGAGCTATCCGGTATTTGTCTTGAGAAATTGGAGTTCTGACCCTCTATAGCTGCTGCTGTTCCTTATAAAAGCTCCCTTAATATTACAGTGCCACTGATTTCAAATCACTACACCTAGAGATGTGTCTGGAAAATTAATATTAATAATTTTGAATGTAATGTTTTTAAGGAAAACATTCACATCTGATTGGAAAAATTGCAAAACAATTTCAAAATAAAAAGAGTATAAAAGGAAGCTAACACTCCATCTGTTCCACTCTGTAACCACTAGAGGTCAGCTTTGATAATAAACATACAAAATGAAAATTTGTTTTGTATTTTCATTTGATGGCAGAAGTTTTCATTGGCTCTTTCCTATTAATAATAAACTTAGATCATCTAATACCTTATAAATGAAAATATTTTTAAATGCAAAGAAATAAAGAATGAAACACATTTTTGCTGAAAAACAAGAAAGGACACACTTCTGCCCGAAACACATTTAATTTCTGTGAAAATGGTACACCCTGTGCAATGTAATAGCTATATTATGAGCTCCTACAAATACAGATTTAAAAAGGGAATTCAGAAAGTATATGAATTTGACTTGAAACATTTTTAATAAAGTGTCAAATTAATTTTAAAAAATCACAGGAGCTGGTTTTCCCCTTGCACAGTGTTACCTAATGCACTAGCAATATGCAAAAGACTAAAATATTTTTTTGCTTTAGCGATGAATGAAAAATCAGATTAGGAGTATTATTAGGGAAAAATCCCAAAAGAACAAAATCCTGCTTATTTAAGAGCCTAAGAAGATAAATTCCTTCCATTCTAGTCGCAGAACAGAGGAAGAATTTCAGATCCCTGATTTGAACACTACCAGCAGCTTGTAATGTCCTACAATGTATTCTGGTACAGATGTGCTGTTTTCTTCAGTAATTTATATATTGCTGCATGTGCTTTGAAAAACATTTTCATTTTGTGGGAATAGAAGGACCTCATGCAATGAAAACACACAGCCAGAAATTTCATTTCTGAGTGTCTGGAACTGAGAGCCAACGGTTCTAGAACTGTGATCACATCAATAGGAAATTACTCCCAAGTTCAGTCTGCAGAACAAACAGACATAGGAAAAGCTCCTGGGAAAGGGTGCAGGTGACATGAAAGCGTCTATATAAAATACGACTTCATAGAAAAACTTCTCAGAAGGAGAAAACTGTGCCAGAAGACAGTAGGTGTTAGTTATAGAAGAGCCATATAGTGAACAATCACAGAAAATCACTCACAAGCCAAAGGGCAGCTAATGGAAACATCATCTGTCAAAGTAAACATATGCAAATTGATTTAATATATGCATCTCTGTAGGCAGATGCATGCACACACTGAAAGAATATCACAAGAATACAGGATAACTTCTTGTGGTTTTTCAATCCTGCTGCTACTGTTCAAGATGATTTTTTTTAGAGGGGACTTTTGTTCTGACCTACATTCTTGTTAGGAGTTATTAGGGAAAGATTTTAACTGCTGCTTATACAAGAATAGTATTAGCTGTGAAAATACATGAATGAAAAAATCATCTAGCTCTCTGCTTCTCACTCAGTGTACAAAAACATAGGCTATGCTTGCATGAACAGGAAGTTTTTTTCACACTGAAGAAGTATTAGTTAGATGAAACAATGAAAGGTAAGAGAAGAAATACATTTTTGAACTAAATGCACTTGCTGACAGCTGTACTGTCTATCATATATAGCAGAAGCTGAAACACAAAGTAAAACCTGAGATGTAATTTACATGTAGTTCTTGGAATAAAAATAGTAAAAGATTGAGAAAAAAGACAGCCTAAGGGAGTTCCCATGCAGGGAAAAAGTCTTAGCTGAAACTAGGACAAAAGCAAGACAGACTGAAGGTAGTGAGGCCTAGCAATGAAGAAGACCTAGAAGGTAAGAAAATAAGACTGTACTGAGTCTTCAATATATGTAAGTGAAAATATACCATAATAAACATATTACTCAGTTCTAAAAAGTTTTGAAAATGTTCATTTTTATCTCCATAAGAACAGGAAAACTGAGAAGAACAAATGAACCAGGCAAAGGATAATACATCCTAACAGGGTAAGCATCCAGATCAGGAGTAACAAATTATGTTCGGCCGTCTAAGATGGCCTCTCTTTTACTTCTTGTAAAACTCTTGCAGCATAACTGTCCCCATTTTAAGAGCAATGCTATACAAAAGAACCTTCTGTCACTTATATAGAAATGCTGCAGTATAAGAGTGCATGAGAAGCAAAACATCTTTAATGAAGGCAAGAGAAAGAAATATCCCCAATCTCAACCCTGATCTCTTGTGGCTATGCAACACTTACTTGAAAAAAGAAAGGTGATTTCTAGATAGGAACAGTCATATAACAGGGGAGCTACGTGTTGGAATGAGCAAGACTTCCATTGTTTTGGGCTGAAGATCAGTGTCAAACTGCCAAGTTTAGGTGTGAACCAACAGTTAACAATATAATCCAGAATCATCTCATAGATTCATTCAGGTTTAATTCAATGATTTAAACATTTAGGAAATTAATTGTAATACTTTGATTTAATTCTATTCTAAGGTAAAATACCTTTCTAGGTATTTTTGAACTTTAGAAGTTTAAAGATACTGAAAAGTTCATAGATGCTGAATATAACTTTAATCAATATAATGGAAAGAAAATGAGTGCAGCTCACATTAGCCTTGGATTTCATATTAATCAAAGTCATCTTGTGAAAGAACACAGACAAGGCAAAGCTATTATGTCAGCCAAACTTAGATACAGCTATATCTACTCTTCTTTCTTCTTTAATGAATTACTTAACAGTTCTGTAAATATAAAAGTAGCTTAGTTGGGTTTTTTTAATTTTATCACACATTAAAGATTACCTTTGCTTACTAGTGGATTTTTTTATATAAAGGAAAGAATCAGCTTTTTACTTTCAAGTTTTTTTCCTGAGCCCTTGGTGTTTTACCCTTGGAATCAGCTGCCAGTTGAGTAATTCTCACATCCTCTTTATGTGTAGCAGATGCTCTTGAAGTTTTTCATAGACATTTATGTATTATGGAGACACTGACATCATAACATTCTTGCTACAGAACACCAAATTAAATTAAAATGATCCCTCTTTATAAGCTACATAAAATATTTCTTTTTACAGCAAGGAATTTTGGTTTCAGGCTAGAAGCATGAAATTATTTCATGCAGTATCAACATGCTGCACTTGACAGTTCAGGTTAACTCCTACCTATTTTTTCTGATCACAGTACACAAATACCTAGCCATGGGTAAGCAGATGGCTATAGAGATCAGGTCAAAATGTAATTTTATCCAACATCTTAAAATACTGAGAATGAACTCTTAATAATCCAGAACACTGTATTCTATCTGTAGGTTTATTGTGTCATTCAATTAACAGTAATCATATGGATGGTGGTTATCAAAACCAAAACTGAAAAAAAAGTTTTATATTTGTCATAAGAGGAAATAAATTAAACCAAGTAATCCCACATCTTAAATACATTTTGTTTTTCCTCATCAGAATGTGACAGTAACATTCCTAAAATGTCCTTGGACAACCAGCCCCACACCCAAAGCAAATAAAGACGAAAACAAACAAAAAAAGAAGCAACACTCAAAATCTTGTAATTCCTGTTTAAAATAGTAATCATCTCTTTGTTTCTCTGATGGTCTAGAACATTGCAGAAAGTTTCAGGCTATTGCAGAAAATATCCTTAATTGCTTTGTTGTCCAAACAAGATTTAATTTTCAACTAGAGCATGGATTGCAGCTAAGCAAAAAATGTTTTATCATTTCCGCATAATGATCTTGTACCTCTCAAAGGGAAGAAGTATTCACCTTGAAAAATCTAAAAGTAAATGAAAACTGATTACTGCTCAGAAAGTAATTATCAAAGCAGGAAGATATCCAAATGGGATTCCAGTGGAACCTGATCTAAGTCCAGTACTTTTGAATGTATTCAGAACAACTTGAATGATGGAACAAAAAGCAAAAAATGTCCTTAATGGAAAGCATGAAATGTGCAATTAACACAATCATGCTAGAGAACAGGATGAAAAAAAGAAAAATCATAAAGAAGCTGGTAAATGGAGAAATCATCTGATAAAGCAGCATTCAATTCTGTAATGACAAATTCTACAGTTATGCAGAGGATAAAAAGACTTCACAAGAACAAGGCAGAGAGAACAAACAAACAAAAAAATTCCCAAACTTCATGAGAAAAGGAAAAATCACTGGCAAACAGTTCTGCAGAGTATCTCATGCTTGGTAGTTCCACTAGACTGCAAACTCAAGGCGCATTCATGATATCATGCTATCTTCCAAAGAGGCTAACATCAAACTAGGTTACATAAACAGAGGCATGGCAATCCCCAAGGGACACACTTGAATGGGACCTTACAACACTCTGCATTTAAGATACATCATCTTCTCTGCTCCTCAGAGGGAATATCCCAGGCAGGTGGGGCACCATGATTCTACTTGAATTTGCAGAAGACTTGAGGCAGCCATTGAACATGATTAGAAGCACAGGAAATGACAAAAAGAGAAACCCTAAAGGAACTGTGCTTATTTAGTCTATAGAAAGGATCCCCAAAGGGGGTCAAATTACAGCTTTTTTAGAGGTGTTTTTCAAGCACTTCAAAAAGCATAAATAGTTTGCTGTTCATATCCACTGTGGTTAGGCCAAGAAGCAACCAATATGAAATGGAGTCATACACAGGAAGAATCCATAAGAAAAGGCCAGTTAAGGATTGGAATGGAAAACCATGGAATTGTCTAGTTTGTTCTTTGCAATCACCTGTCATCAATGGCAGGAACATAATGAGTTCTGCCATATAACAATTCTAGGGATTAAATATTATTTTCCCCATTGAGCCTTTATCCACCATTGTACAGATTCTTTTCCTATGTGACAGATACAAGGACTGTGCTTTTGCAATAATGATTTTTAAAAATCTATTTGTGAACTCTGACTTCTATTGTATTTTAATAAGGATTCAAAGTAAAAGTGTTAATTCACTTGTTTCACTTGTAATATGATGAGACCTATATTAAAATATAGCAGTATTCTTTCTTTTCATTGCAAAAAAAAAAATCCATACCACAATACAACAAAATAGAAGATAGACATATACTTTAATTGTTAAAACTATGTCTAACTGTAAAATAAAAATAGCAAAGATAGTAAAAATAGACATTAACAGAATGTTGGTGAGGAAAAAAAATTGCCAACTGTTTATCAACTTGGTGGATGCATTTTTGAAAACAAAAAGTGTAAAGGCAGAAACAGAAGTCTCTAAAGAATTAAGAAGTAAAACTTCAAGAATCACTCAAAACCAAATGGCATGTATTGTAAGAAAAAATAAAACCATGCATTCCATATTTTTCAGTGCATCACAACTGTGGAGAAGAAATGTTACCATAGTAACAAGGTTATCAGTAACTATTATATATAGCTTCTTCCTTTTTTAACAGGGAGTTTTGAGATTAACCTTTTAAAAACCCCTTTGACACACAGTGTGAAAAACATGCTGCTCCAGAAATATGGTGGGGAGGGAAGTTCCACACTGTTCTGAGAGAGAGATTTTGTGCATGATAGACAACATCATCTGGTACAACTTAAGAAACTGCTATTCTAGGCATCTTCCTACCATTAAACCTGAATACCCTGCAATTAACCCATGTATCACAGCAGTAATACAACTGAACAATTGTGCCTAACACTGTTGAAACAATCCTGGTGGAGGAATCTACTGAGGGAAACATAAGAAATAGCATATAAATCTGTTCCAATAAATAAAAAAGCACGTTCAGAAGAAGAATTTTTCATCTTTATTAATAAATCTATACATTTAAAGGATGAGAAGAAAGACAGCCCTTCTAAGCCTTTAAGGAAAAATAATAGATTAGTAGCACTTTCGTGCAATATAATAATAAAAATATTGTCACAACACATACTTATGTAAACTAAATTGTCTAGAACACTCCAATGTCCAATGTTAAATATTACTTTCAGAGTATGCATGGTAAGAGTTTTTGGTATCATACAGTTTTCTCAAATGACAAAATAAAGATTTTATTACTGTGTTGTTTTAAAAAAATTCACAGTATTTGTATTTTATTTTTATTATGAAATTATTATATTTATCTTATCAGAACAAGAAATATTCCTAAGATAGTAGCTATTTTAATGATTGTAAATATAGGCAGTCTGATAATAACCAAAAAGAAAAAAAAACCATCTCAAACGACCAACAATCTCACATGCCAATTCAGGACCCACCTGCTATTAGGCATCCATAATTCCCCTTTTATCTCTAGGGGTTTTGAGACTTTAAATTTGCTTATACCCAATAGAAGAAAAGATTACAAAGGATGAAGTATATTTAGCTGTTCATTGTATTACTGTTGATAGAGATTTTTCAAAAGCAGGCACATTCTACAACTACGCAGGTAAATGCAACAGGGAAATAACAGTTTCTATATGAACGAATTTCACTTTGTGGCAAGTGTAGGAATACTCACACTTGTGGACTGAAGGTTACTGCTCTCACCATCACAACAACCAGGATGACAATGGTTAGAACCAGAGAAAGAAAAGATACCTGTAAAGGTAAAAACATGACTTCAGTCAGCAAGCTGCTGAAAGGTGGTCCTTTGAGCAGCATAATGCATTTGTTAATTATTTACACAAAGTTATGACTGGCACTTATTTTCAATAGCATACAGAACAATAAACCAAAAATCAACTGCTGTTATGATTTACCTTTCCCAATTTTGCTATGTCTCGATATAAAGATATAGGTGAGGTAAAGATGATGGTGGTAAGAAGAATTATGAAGTGACGGTCGGTAAGCACGTTATCCACCCCAACTAAAGCAAAAAAGAAAATAATTTATTTCTTTAAGAGACTAACTTGAGGAAAAGATTAGCTACATTTGAAAGGTTATAAGTAACAAACTGTTGGTGATCAAGCTTTTATTCCCGTTACTCAGGCTAAGTAATACTGAAAACTAGGCATTAACTAACACTGAGAAAGCCATGCACAGCATGGGCATGAACACAAGAATTCTGCAAATTCAAACCAAATGCATAACATATGGGATATATTAAACCAAAATTGCAAAGTCTGGATTCCTACATATAGATTGGTATTAATGTCTCTCATTATGTCTGGGTCAACGCTGGGAGACTGAAAGTAAAAAAATTCTCCTTCTTTCTGCCATTTAGTCTTGAGAATTTTTTGATACTCTGGGTTGACATCAATTATTGTGCTGTTTAGGACAGCATTGTTCTCTAAGAAATGGCCTACAATAAGTTAATTTTGAGGTTTCTTTTGGGGATCTCCTTTCCTACTATCAGCTGGCTTCCACTTGCAAAGTAGATTACCATGTGAGGGCAACAATGCTCTTATAATATTCCATGCAGTCAGTGGGACTTGTTTGCACAACTGGTGTGTTTTTTCAAGGCAATGACAACCTAAAATAAAACATCTCCAAGTTTCAGTGAGGCCACCATAAATCATTGGCTTGAATGAATACTTGATGAAAAATTACGGCTGGAAAGTGACTGGCAATTGACATGGAAAACTCAATGTTCTGTTCCCTCTTTGGGAGATGACAAAGCTTTCCCACCTCTTTCCAGGCAGGTATTCTACCGCATAGGTAATCAGATTTGCCATGCTGGGGATTCCCCCTTTTACAGAAGTCATATTATATATAAAGTATTAGATATCTACTGTCACTATCAATTTGATCAGCTATTCACAGAACAACACAGTGTGACAAAACTACATCCACCTTTCAGGTTTCACATGCTGAAAATTACAGCTCTCCTGTGGAAATGAAACAGTTCATACAAATTCACATTTCCACTTCATTACATGCATGTTTTCTCTCAGTTTAATCTCCCAGTGAAGAATGTTTTAATTTAGCTGCTTTTGTGCTAAAGTAGATATCAAACACATACATAAATTGCTCCACTGATGCTGCTGTGAAAACTTAGAGCACAGGAAGGGAAACAAGGGAGCATGATTTAAAAAGCATTACATTCATTATATTATTTGCAACTTATCCAGAATTATTCATTAGATGAAGTACAGTTTCACTATTTAAATTATTATTATTATTATTATTATTATCATCATCATCATCATCATCATCATCATCATCATCTAAAAAAATACAAAACCCAATAATCTTGTAAATACCCAACTGTGGAAGACTCACTTCTATTTGCTTAGTATTTCACTGAAGCATCTGGTCTCTTCACTGACACTGAGTCCACTGCTAGCCAAGGACTAGGATTCATAGATTTTATTTGGGAAAGGCTTATTAAAGAAAAAAAAACAAACTCAAAAAGCCCCACTCATAGACATATGCTTCAAGTCCTTAATTTGAACTAAATTTAAGAGTACTTTAGAAGCTATATTACAGGTAATTGCAAAATACCTATGCTACGCTTCTATCCAATCCATAATCCCCCACTCTTAAAATTTTTAAATGCATCTTACCTCCAGGAATTCTCTGAAAAACTTTAGTTAAAGTGTCTCCTGTTATTATGTTGTAACTGATCATAGCTTAAAGAAAATAAGTTTTTTGTTAGCATATATGCAAGTCATATGCAAAATATTTGATTAACACTGAATACACACATTTTGTAGACTTCAGGATTACATGGCACTATCCCTCTAAGATAAATTCTGGCTAGCAGCAACAACTTGAAAGTTTCAGGTTTAAAAAAATAATTCTTTAACACTTCCTTTTTTGCTTTTTTTTTAAACAGGTACCACCTAAGCATTAATGCAGCCTGATGAGCAAGACCATTGTGCTGAGTGGCCATATAAACTTACTTCAGAAGAGGATAAAAAAGGCTTTCTAGAACTGTTTGTTTCTGATAGCAATTCTTTGTCAGTTTACTTTCAAATGCTTGTTTCTATTTAGTAAATTTCCTGTGTTAGTCAAATAATCAGCTCTTCAATTAAATACAACAGACTTTCCAGCTCATGCAAAAAGCTAGCAAACTCTTTAAACCAGAAGAAAGAAGGAGAAAATCAATTAAGAGATGAGATATGGACTTCAATTTCTCCCTCTCATTACTAAGTTCTGTGGCCTTAACACTACTACTTCATTCTTATCTAACTCTACACTAACAGCTCGTAAATTTGTGCACATGTGTATGAATACACAAATTATATTTATCAAAACCTTTAGCATTTAGACAGCACATATTTAGGTATTGACATTAACTATACATAAATTTTCATTGTTGTGAAATTGTAAGTCATAAACTCTACTTATATAAATTAATGCAAACACATACAAGAGCATAACCATAGCTCTATGGTGAGGACTAAGACCTTTACAATTCTTTTTCTGTATTATTAAGGGAGTACTTGGTTTACAAAGGAGTACAATTACATGTATAACACTGTTGCCCGCACTAACAGCAACTTGCCACCCTTAAAAATCTCAGGTATCTGTAGCCAGACCCAAATAGGAATTTTGATCTGTGACTTCATGATCACCAAGTCAGACTCTTGATATCTCAAGTCATCTTATCTTGCAGCCCCATGTGTGAAAATATCAAGACTATTTAAGATTTGATTTAATTATGTTGCTACAGCAGGAGACAGATTCAGAACAGAACTTTATTTCAAACTTCTGGTCTAATAAATTCCTGCCCAGATTATACCTTTTGCTTCATTTACTATTTCTTCTTCCAAGGGGTCTGAGTGCCTAATTTCCCAGTACTTCGTTGGGCATGAAGCTGAACTAATGCTTCTGAAGAGCAAGACCTAAACAGTGGCTTCTCCAATTACAGTAACATCACATCTCTGAAAATATACTAATTCAGTATACTCCTAAATTCATATTTTCCTTTTCTTTCAGACACATCAGCTTTGTGCTCTGCTACTCAATCTAGAACAGAACCTCGTTTGCTATTTTTTCTAGCTACTTTGGTCATTAATTTTCATATGTGCAATCATGAATTTCTCTGCTATTACATTTCAGTTCAATTCTATTATTCTGATCCTTCAATTCATTTAATACCTCCTCATTCTTCAGAACCCATAAAATAAATTTATTTTTTTTTAAATAGCAAAGAAGCATATACAGTACGTTCTTTATATAGTTCTTAATATTCAATCAGTGAAATAATGCAGTAATGTGAAAAAGCTTGTTACTTATAAAACTTAAACATTTATATTTTATGTGATCTTACCAATAAATGGATATAAAAACTGGAGAATTGAAAGGATTAGATAACCTACAAGACCATAGGTTTTTTTGACCAGCTCTTGATAGGTTTTGGTACCGGACAGATTTCCTCCTTTGATCAGCAATATAATGGAATAATCTGTTAAAACATAAAATTACTGTTAAAGACGATATGAGCCAACTTGTGGTTGATTACTTTTCACCTTCTTTCACTCCTCTAACCAAAGAAAAAAGGCTCTAAGAAGAAAAGCAGTGGCACTAGGAAGAGCAGGAATGAGAAATCTCACAAAATCTCTCAAGCCACTAAATCCAGGAGCTATAGGCTCATATTGGAAGAAAAATACTTAAAATCATAGTACAATCAAAGGTTTTCATTTTGTGGTCTATTTTTAAAAGTCATATAAAACCCTCTCAGGATTCAGTCTCTTAATTAGTCCAGTCTTAACAGTGGACTCAAACAGATGATTATGAGGGCAAAAATAAGAACACTCTTTCAAATGTAACCTTGACTAGGAAACTAAGGCTTCATGAAAATAAATGCAGTCAAAAAGCAGCTTCATATATTGTACAGTGTAATTCTCTACTTTTACTAATCTGCAGAAAAGATTAGTGAGGTAAGGAAAAAATTAGTCATTTTTATGACCTGTCATAGATATACTTGTTTAAGGTATCATTAAGCTCAAGATAAGGTAAAATATTGCATGACTAATTTTATCTTTACAACAGAAACTGCCTTTAGAGTACCTGTGATTAAGGCAACCACAAACAAAAGCAGTATTCCTAGAGGAAAACCAGCTTCCTTCATCGAATATGGCAATCCTGCAAAGCAGAAAAGGAGAGATTCTAGAAGACTCTTTCCAAATATTTATTTGTGAGAATCAAAATAAAGAAAAACTCAGATTTTAAAAAATGCTTTAAAAAAATCATTATTTTTTAATGATTTGAAAAAATAATCTCCCAAATTGGATCAGCATGCTTAATCACCTCCAAAATATAATTTTCAGTGGACAAAGTGTTGCTTAAGTATGAAGTTCAGTCAGCACCTGCCCAACCAGTCTGACCATTATGGCCAAGAAACTCTGGGGTATTTATCACTAAGGTGTGGTCTCAATTGACACCTCAACATTTTTGCAAAATAAGCAAATAAATACAGAGAAAAATCTTTAAAAACAGCAGCAGAAAGTAAGGAATCAGTGTTATTGTCCAAGCTGGATAGTCATGCATGAATAAACAAGGATGAATACAGGACAGTAAAGAAAAGTAGATTTACCTATAATGCCTGATCCTATGATTGAATTAATAATGTTAAATCCAGCTGATGCCAGATCACTGTTTCCTCCTTTATTCCTGGGCTTACTAAGGAGGGCTATTTGGTCATCTGTTTCTACCTATTTCAGGAAGACAAGGAAAACATTATACATAAGAAAAATAGGTGAGAACAATTATTTTTCACATAGTCTATTAAAGATTTTTTAAAAATTGTCATAGACTCAGATTTGTAGAGGTATTTTGATAAGTAAATCCCATTTTTTTCACTGAGAAATCAAAGGGGTATTAAGAAGCTAATTCCTGTATAAGTCTGACCCATAATCTTCTGTAATTCTCTGAAAAATAGTAAGTGGAAGGAGAGAAATATATATAAACTCAGAGGTAGGCTGTTAAACAAAGACATTCTTAGTCATGTTTAAGACAATAATGTGAATCGAGTATTTTCAAAAATATTTTGGCTAATATAATTGGTCAGTAAAAAAAATTCCTGAATTGGGGAAATGAAATTAATTTCAAGACTTACTAGTAAAGCATGCCAGCTTAACATACTCTAATCCAAGGTTTTATCCAGTATTTTAAATATTTCTGTGCCATTCAATGGTTTAGTTAATTATGAATAGTTAATGACACTATAAAATCAGCTGGTTCCAGAAAGTTTCTGTGGGAAAGAACCAAAGTTCAGAGCACAATATGTAGCCAGTAGCTTCAAAAATTAATATTTGTATCTTCATAAAAGAGCTTTATAATAAATATGCAGTAATCCTCTCATTAGATCACCACTGTGCTGCCAGAGAACATTTCAGAATTATTCATCAGAAAGATCATATTTTACCTGAAGTTGTGAAATTCAAGGGAGGAACAAGCATTTAATGAATAAAATTCTTGCCTGTGTTCTGTGCACTAAGTATGAAGGTAACATCACTATTTCATGGATGCAGAAGCCTATTTAACATATATAGCAGATAGTACAAACTCAAATGCTTGCTTCTAATATTCCTGGGAAAAAAATAAATTACTAAAAAAATCGAAGTCATCTGTAGATAGACACATAAACTGACAAGCATAAGACTTCCTGCCTCTAGTACGGCTACACATTTAAGTGGAACCTTTAATCCTTAAGCAGCACTAACATAATACTGTCTCAGATCAAAGCCCAGTGGAGCGTGGTATCCCATTTCTGAGTGATGACCATGAAAGGTGCCTAGGGAAAAGCATAAGATCATAGAAAATAGCTAGTTAGCAAACTTTCCTCTCCCAGCTTTCCTGAGTTTGTGTATTGTGGACTTCCAAAGTGGTTGTGTTCTTGGGGTATCACACTTCTAAGTGGACAGCTGCTTGATTTTTCCCTTTTTAGAAACTGCATAGGTTTTAGCATCTATAATATCATGCATTAGTGAGTGCCATGTTTTAATTATGCACCCTAGAAAGAGACAGGTAATTTAATTTGTTCTGAATCTACCATTCAGTATTTTCACTTGGGTGTCCACAAGTCTTTTGTGTCATCACAGAGATTCTAACCACTATTTCCTATCCTCCTCATATCACATAGTTTCATAAGTAACATTCTACCTCAGCTGCTTCTTATCTAGACTTGTGCTACATTTTTATTTCACTACTGATTTCAGCAACAGAAGCATCACTGTCATTCACTCCTGAAATTCTAATGCTCTCTACTAACAGCACAGTACAGGTGAAATTGCACTGAATAGAACAGTCCAATTCCCTCTCTTCAGTTGTTACAAGAAATTAACACAATGTGCGTTGCTAAGCCCTGGTCCCTTTCCCCAGCTGGAAGGGACATATTTCAATGAGCGAAAGGGCAACAAAAAGTTGTGACACAGGTGAAACGGCTCCTGTGTGAAGAGCAGCGCTCCCGACGGTGTCCCCGGCCCGCAGACAGGGAGGGATCCCCAGCTGGGAGCCCGGCCAGAGAGCTGCACAACGCGGGAGACATGAACGCGAGGCGTCCGCCTCTCGCAGGGTCCTCTCCTGGGGCCCCCTGCGAGGCGTGGGCCAGCCGTGGCCACCCGATACGGCAGCGACAGCAGCGGGCACGGCTGGAGATGATGGGGCAGGGCAGGACATGATGGGCACAGCTCAGGAGATGCGGCGCTCACGCTCGGTGCTCACGCGACACCGAATTTCAGTCGTGCCGAGCAGCCGCCCTTCCCCTGCCTCACAAAGTGAGGTCCCCGAGACCGCATTTCTCCCCCGGCGTGGTACCTAGGACTCTTTCTTCCTCCTACGAATTCGGGGGCACCTGAACAGAGACGAAAAGGCCATCGCTGCCGCCCGCTCGACCGCGGAGCCGGGACGTTCCAGTGGCCGGTCGTCCTGAGCCGCCGCAACTGGCGGCGGTGCTCCTCACACCCATCCCCGCCCCAAGAGCCGCAGAGAGAAGTCCGGCGGGTGCCGGCGGGCTCGCTGAACCGCGCACAGTCCCACACCTGGCCTGCCCCCAGTGTCCGCCCGGTACCTGGCGAGCGGCGGCCGGCGGTGGCTCCGCGGCCGGCAGCGGCTCCATGGCCGGCAGGCCCGGGGCGGGCGCGCCGCGTCCCTCGCGGCGCCGCTGGGCCGGGGGGCGCCGGTGCGGCCCGGCCCGCGCGCCCGGCACGGGCTCCCCTCAGGCGGGCCGGAGCGGTCCCGCGGCGCCTCCGCCGTGTGGGAAAGGCGGGTGTGCTCCGGTCCGGCCGCACCCAGCCCGGCCCGACCCGACCTGCGGCTGCAGGGACCTGTTGGACCACGGTCAGGTGCGGGAGGAGCACCGAGGACTCGTACGGGCGGGAGGGGGCTGTGAGACCGCGGCCCCTCCTCCGGGCGGTCCCTTCACTGGAAACATTCCAGAAAGTAAGCGCTTCTCTGCCTTCAACTTGTAAGACTTCGAGTTCACCCAATCCCTCTTTACCCCGATAGCACCAGTAAAGCTTTCTCGGTGGGATGTGTAACAAAAACCAGGTCCGATATCACAGCTGCTAATTTGTGGTTGCTTTTCAATATCGGTGTTGTTGGCAAGGCCTCGCTATTCTCCTCAGGGAGGGTAATCTGCTGTAAAGAGTGATCAATCAGATAAAGAACATACTGAGGTTCTAATCAAAGTATGGGAAGAGTCCAAACTAATTAAAAGATGCAGAATGACAGTGCTGAAAGTTTAGTCGCTAGATATCGAGCTGAGACCAAGCAGTGTCCAGCAGAAATATGCTTTGGAAATGTGGAACAAGCCACACAAAGAAACACACATCTTAAACCAAAACCCGTGGGAAGTAGTAGGCATTGATAAAAAATTGGAGGCAGTAATTAATTTTGTGAAGTGTTGCCAAACAAAAAAATGTAGGGCCTACAAGAGTAAAATAAAATCTACCTAACTTTAGGAACTTACTCCAATTACTGGAGGGCATCATCGGAATGTGGACCCAAAATTTTCAACAAGATTAAATCATGATGGGGAAAAAATGCCTGAGAGATGACAACTAAATAGCAGAGAAAATAGAGCATGCTAATTTCCTTTCTATAGTCTTAAGAAATCCTATATTACCCTTTGCTGGGGTAAACTGTGGTGGTTACAGGAGCACATGTGCTGTGTGCATCAGTAATTTTGTCCTTAAAGATCTATGATGCATATGATTTAATATGGAGAACAAAGTGCACATAAAGAGCATATATGACATTTTTGTTCAATAGCTTAAGCACATTAGCTTCAGCTCCTTCAAAAAAATCTCTAATCATCCTCCATGACAAGCTACAAGCTGACATGTATTTGTGTGTGACTAGTCAGATGACATGACTCAGCAAAGAAACTTTGAGAGGCCTAAGATGCAATTCCTGTGATTTGTAGCAATGTTATTTTCTTTCTCGGACTGTACAAAGAATTCTGTCTTAAACCAGAGAATTAAGCTGTTTCAAAGCAGAGTGTAATAAACCATATAGTAGGTTTTCAAGATAGTCTTCTACCAGACTCTCTATGTTTAGTACTGTAGCAATTTCCTCACAAGGCCTCTGTATCTAGCACCCACCTCTGTATCTAGCACTATAATAGTGCCCTGAATAATGTGATTTTGTTTTAATTGTTATTTGGAGTATGTATTAGTTACCTTAGAAAAGAATTTCTATTTTGTGCAAATGCTTTCTCCTGTATAGCCTTATAATTAATCAGATACATCTTTCAGGCCTTTTTTTGACAAATTAAGTCAAGCTCCCACTGTGCAGCTCTTAGTACATAAGGGGGCTGGTGCCTGATTGTGGCACCCACTTATTTAAAATTTTACTTCTATTGGTCACACTGGCATGATTCCAAGTAGTGTTTATAAACCTATAGTTTTAATTCAGTATAGTAACAGTGAATTAGGGAAAGGAATAGACAGTTCCCAAAAGATAGGGAAAAGCAGAGTTGCTTTTACTATACTATGAGAGTAGTTTTTGATTTCTTGGATTGCTCTGTGCTTCTTGTTGTGCTTTGGAATGTGGTTATTGTCTAGAATGCTTAATACTGGTTTTAGTCTTAGCCTTAAGACTTGCAGTACCTTGTGAATAAAATTGCAGGGTGCACTGCAAGTCCATAATCCACTGTTTACATTAAGTAATTCTTTGGGAGTTTGCTGTAGGACAGTTTGTACAATTTTTTACCCCTGTGGTTGCGGGGCAGGATCAAGCTCTGAAGGATGCCGACACAATTAAACCACAGGAGACAATTATAAAAAAAGCAAAACAAACAGATGGCACATTCAAAAAGGATAGACACAAAGGAATTTTTTGTGCCTAAAAAAGGAAACAGAAAGAACCATAATTTTTCATGAAATGCGGAAACATACTAAGGAGGCCAAAATGAGTTAGAGCAACAAACACCAAAAAGGAATCTTTACTAATACCTTTAGTACTTATGAGCAGAAATTCTGCAAGAGAATCCTGAAGATCCACAGAATTGTGAGGCTGGCTGGGAAGAGTGATCACAATAAAACTAGAACAGACAAAGTAAAGAGGGGTGGTTTTTGTTTAGTGGAGAGTATCTTGAGAAATTTTCCATGGCAAAACACTTTCCACAAGGAGGACTACAGAAAGAATATGGCTTAAATTGAATTATCAATAGAGTGACTGAAAAATATAAGCAATAATGATTTGGAATGATCAGATGTATTCATTTTGAAATCTTAAGTTAATTTGTGGCTGGGGAAGGTAGTGCTAAGTTTTTGCTTCATGTCAATGGCACTAGTGGTATTGGAAAATGGCACATGTGACATGAATATGGCTGCCTGAAAGAACTCCAAGAATGATCCAGGAAACTACGTCCAAACATGCCTGCCATTCCCACTGGGCAAGGTGTACACACTGTAATAAATAATAGGATGAGATGGTGTTGAACGGTGTTGGCAGAGCTTTGTGGAGAAGCCTACACCGTTGCAACTTCTGCTTTGCCAGTTTTACTGCTTGAGAACTAGATTTCTAAATGCTAATGATACCATTGTCATCTTTCACAAGCGTTAAATATATTGAGGCATTAACAAAAACCAAAGAAGAGTCAATACTATAAGCTCTTTGTGTACTCCAAGAATGTCTGTATCATCTGAAACCATATAAGATCAAAGATATAAGATTAGACAAAAAGTAGGCCTAGAAAAATAAGTCATGTGATGCAAATTGACATATAAAGAAGACTACATTTCCTTTTATCTCTAAATGAAGTAATAAAACAGAAAAAAAGAGCATTCTTTGTAAGGAATGATTGTTATAATCACATGACACTTTAATGCCAGATTCTTTAGTCCTTTGTAAAAAGGTCAGTACCCTTTTACTTTATAATAGTGTCTTTGTCTTTGAGGCAAAGATATTAAAAAGGGCTAATGTTTTCAACAGCAAATTAATTTAGTTGTGAGATACATAACAGTCTTCCAGAAAGAGATTACAGACCATTTAAAAAAAATTTTTTTTTGAGAAATGTTTAGTGATGCATGTGAGCAATGAACAGAAACTGTCCAGCTATATTGTGCCCCCTGCAAGAATAATCAGGACTACAGGGGAGTGCATCCTCCGAATATGACAGCTGTGGGCAGTCGGCCTGTGTTGCTTAGCTAGTGAGCTTAATAAATACCAAGCACCTGGTCTCCTGTAAGGGTGTATAGAGCTTTACAGAAGCTACTCAAAGGCATTATGGTTTGAGGAAAATGCTTATATCCTAAAACTTCTAAGTGGTCTTCATAAGAACCTGTAGTATTTGTGAAGTTAGTGGACAAAAGCTGTACAACTGACCTGGAAGTTATCAGTACAGCTTTTCCTCTCTTGCAAGTTGAAGGTATCATAATCTGTTTTGGAGAAACAGAGTCTTTAAGCTTATCATTGATAAGTCTTGTGTAGGCAGTGTTGGTAGCTTTTTTGTTGATGGTTCTCATTGAGGATCCTGAGGCTTCAGTCTTATGTGATAACCTTCTCTGCCTCCTGTCCTGCACTGTAATGGTCAAAGGAAGCATATGGAGGGAAAACAAAATCTTGAACTCCAACTGGCTAGTTGGTTGTGACAAATAATTTACTGTTTATTTAAGTCTCACGTAAAACCAACTAGGAGAAATTGAAGTTTTACATATGAATTTTTCTTATCACAAATTTGAAATGTAAACTCACTGTTTGCCTCTCTGACTCATTAACTTATGAGACCTGTAGCTGGGAAAATCAAAACTGAAATTCTTCTAGTTCAAAATAGCCACAATGAAACCTAGAGAGCAGGCACACTGCTGTTAGAGAACCACACTAAGAACTCATGATTCTGAACTGGGAACTGTCTTGCTGTGTTACACCCTGTAACTCTTCAGCTAAAGTATATGAGTCCAAAAAGAACTGGGTTTTTGCTTTCCTAGAAGTTTCTTTCATCTTTCTAGAAGCTTGGAAGTTTTTTCCTTGTGTACTTTTGAATCACAGCAGCTCTACTGTAGTTTCTTTACTGTAATTGAAAAAGTAATTAAGAGAATAAATGGTTGCTTAATATTTGAATTACTCGAAGGTGAGTGCTGTGACAGCCTGTGGGTTAGTCACTAATTGTGCTTCTATATACCTAAGGGTCTAGGATTAAAGGGGATACCACATTTTTACCTGCTGGACTACCTTTATTGGAGGAGAAAGGAGGTTGAACATGAGTCAGTTGTGTTTCCTTGATTGTCTACTGGGTATGAGCTAGAATTTGAGTGAGGAGGAAGCTACTAAAATTGGGATTTGCTTGAAGTATTGCTGTAAAAGATTTTAGATGAAAGGATCTAAAGAGAAATAGGAGAACTAGAGACAAGAAAGTAAGGCATAAGTGACTGATAACTTACTGGTCATCAGCTTGCCGAAGGCATTCAGTATTCAGAGAACAAAAGGTAAGGCCACAGAGGCATGTTTGGCAGGCTTATATTTATGTTACATTTAGAGTTGTTTTTGTGAAGTATTCACAGTTTCTTTGCTTCATGCATGGTATTGATTTATGCTGAGTGTAATGGGCACTGTGTTATCCATTTGTTAGCTTAATTGATTCGGTTCTATTTCTGATCTGTAGCAGAAGATGCTA